TGCATAGAGAAAAGAACTACAAGAGCTTCAATAACCTGCTGAAGATGATGGAGCTGGGAATTTTAGAGATAAGATCTGAAACACTTTGTCTGGATTCAAAGCCTTGGGTTGGGACAGTGAGGAAAGGCTGAAGGTAGACTCCAACGGTAGAGGGGCTACTAGGGTGGGATGGTGAAGAACCTGGAAACAGTGTAACAGTGAAAGAAAGGACAGTGACAGGTAACCTTTGCATGGAGGAGATCAGAAGTGAGGGAAATGTGACCCCAGGGTGGCAGGGGGTGAACTGCTCAGGTTTGAGGTGCTCAGAGGGTAAAGGGATACCTAGTCCAGGGAGGAAGTGTTTGCTCTGAGCACTTCCCTCCTTATTCACCTGGCAGGCTCCTATGCATGTGTTACCTCTGCGCAGTGAGCAGGTCACCCTTGAGCTTCACAGCCCCCTGTGGACACCTGTTCTTGCTCTGGTTAACTCAGAAGCAGGAAGCAGCATGCTAGAGGCAGAGTTAGGGGCATCCTGTGTGTGTGGTGGGGATACTTGGCAGGCAGGAGAGCAGATGAAGTTAGAGGGTGACCCCAGTTTCTGGGTCTTGGAATGTACTTTTCAGATGGGACTGAGCTGTGTTCTAGCCTTCATGCTGCCCAGCTCTAACCTCTGGTTGACCATAAGTCCTCTTCTTTACCTGGAGCTGGGCTGTGACCTGAGATGCCCTTGCCATGCTTCCATGAACCGGAGCCTGAGCAGCATCAGATAGTGCCTTCTCTGCTCATTATCCGCCCTCCATGGCTCTAGGTCATAACTGACCTTTCACATTGACCTTGAAGCGCTGGCTGTCTTGGCCTCCAGATGTGGACACTCGGCACTCCCAGAACCCGCTGTCCCCAAGAACCAAGCGGGGTACCTCAAACTCAGCTGTGGTTTTGTCTGCTTCCACAATGGCCTTGGTGGACTAAGAGAGACAAGGAGAGGGTACAGAAAACAGAAAATGTGTACCCCTGAGGCAGAAACAATCATCCATATGGAAGGCTGGTGGGACAGAAGCCCAATGGCAGCTATCACCAATCCGCCTGACCCTCTTGAGCCATGGCCAGGCTAGTGGGCAGAGCCTGAGTAAAGTTTGGAGGGGATAAAGGTCTGAGGAAGCAATCATAAAATGGTGGAACAGGAGCAGGGGCTTCCCAGTCCTCATGGCTGACCTGAAGCACGGTACCGTCTGGCTTGCGCAGCTCCATGCTGCCCCGTACTGGGAAGGGGTTCCCTGCAGCAGCGCAGTTGATCCGGGGCATCGTCTCTAAGTTGAACTCCAGTTCTGAGGCCACATTAAGGATCTGGGGGATCCGGTCTAGGGAGAGAGTGAGGGGACACTCACACGGGTGCTTCCATGGGGCACACATGTGACCATGACCACCAAGGTGCCCTTTATCCCATGCTCCTCATCTTTTTTTTTTGGTTTTTCTCCGGTACCGGGAACCGAACTCACGACCTTGCACCTGCCAGGCAGACGCTTTGCCGCTGAGCTAAACCCCCAGCCCCCCATGCTCCTCATCTTAGTGGAGGTACATTTCCAGTCACTCAAGCCTGCGAGTCACACAAAGTCCTGCATGACTCCTCCAGCATCCTCACTTGACCTGCCACATCTCCCCACAACACACTTCCTAATATCCTCTAATGCCAGCAAGCACGCTCCTTGCAATTCTCACAGCCCGAACACTGTTGAGGCTTCATTTGTTTCTGGTGCTCAGCCACAGATGCCTGCTTCTGCACTCTGCCCGGCAGTGAGAGGTCTGACCACCTTGTGCTCCTTCAACAGTTCCCTCTTATTCCTATCCGGCTAAGTTAAACCCCCTGGTCTGTTATGATTTAATCTCTTCTGACCACTCCTCTAGCCCCCCACTTCACTGCCCCGCTACCCAAGCCAGAGTCTCAACTCCTGTGCTTCCCCTACAGTCTTTGGTGTGTTTTCTCTCTTGTCCTTCATATCCAATCTCAGCTTTCACCTCCTCCCAGAAACCTTCCCTGACTCTCTCTCACACAGTCAGGGGCCTCCTCTGGGCTCTCTTGCACCCTGGGCTGTCACCCGCTAAGCTACGGTAAGAACTCCTGCTCTGTATTCCTTGAGGGCAGGATGTGGGCCGTAACAGTGAAAGGAGGGCAAGTGTCCTCCAAGCCAGGGAGATTCATTCGGTGGAGGCTGACTTGTCTTGAGAGGTCGCAGACACCCAGGTGCTCATACCTGACTTCTCGCAGTGTACACCATGCCACCCAGAGGGGCAGACACAGCCACTAAATCGATCACAGGTGCCACCATTCTGACACTGGCACTGGAGGTGGCAATCAGCTCCAAAATGGCCAGGGGCACAGGCTGGGAAGAGAGGAGGTGTGGTTAGAAGGGATGGATCAGGGGGCCATGAGGGCACAGGCGGGGCATGGCTTGCACAACAGGTTGAGTGTAGGGGGCACTGGTCAGGTGACTGTGGAGAGCTTGTCATGTATATCGGTCAGAGTGAAGGTTCTGGGCCAAGCTTGTGGCACAGAGGGTAGATTAGTTCATACCTTCCTGGCACTGGCTTCCTCTCCAGCCAGACCCACAAGAACAGCCATACGGGTCTGGGAGGCAGAAGGTGAGGCCCCGACATCCTGATGTACCTGGACACTGCTCCTGGCACCTCTGTCCAAAACGGCCCTCTCTGCAAGCTGGAGGAAATGTGTGTGGATGAGTCTGTCAGGTGCCAAGGTCCAGGACACAGCCCACATCCTCACCCTCCAAGCTCCATCCCCATGGTTCCAGGATCTTTCCTAGAGACAGGCATCCTTTTGTGTCTGGGTCCATTTCCATTCCCCTTACCCTGTTCACAGCGGGTACCAGTGAATCCAGGGGGGCACACACATTCGCCATCATAGTCATGGCAGACACCGCCGTGCAGGCAGCCTGGGCATTCCTTGCTGCAGCCTGGCCCCCAGCGCCCAGCCCCACAACCTAGAGAAAAGTGTCCTCAGCAGCTGAGCTTCCCCCACCTGCTTATGGCTGCTGAAGACATGAAGGCATGAAGGCATGAAGGGTAGCTCTGGGGACCTTGGAAATCCTGGGACCCACAGGAAATACCCATAGAACTCTCAGCTTCTTACACCACCCCAACCTCGCCTCTGACCCCGCACAATAAGCCGAAAGAAGGCGCTGCCCAGCGGGCTGGCTTCCAGGTAGGTGGCACTGTAGATGCCGCTGGATGATGGCTGTGCATCGAAGAGCCGAAGCCGGAATCGCCCATCCGTGGCCTCCTGCCAGTCCTGGTTATGGAAGTAGGATCCTGAGGGTGGGGTGAGGTGAGGTCAGGGGCCTTAGCACCACGTGAGAACTGGTATCACCTCCCTCGGCCCAAGTCACATTAATGTACCCCATGCACAGTGATCAGACCAGGGAGAGACACGCATGAGGTGTTAGTATCCAACCAGAAAGCTGAGAAGTACCCTCTTTCTGCTCCACAAATCATGCAGAAAGTCACTAAGTCCCATTGGTCCCCCCCCCCCCGCATCCTCATCTCAAAACAGCCCACTTTCCCCCACATCCAGTGCCCCCACCCTGGCGCCAGGTCCTAATGGGCCCCTTTCCTGGGCACTCTGCCTCCAGCTTGGCCCCATATTTGGCAACAAGAGAGATTCTTATACACAGATACCTTGGTATCTTCCCTGCTTCACCTCTTACAGCTCTCCACTGCGCTCAGGACAAAACTCCGCTCCTTAGCATGCTGTTTCTACCAGTTTGACCCCTGCTGAGCTCCCAAGCCCCACAGCTCTCCACCCCCTCTTTGGCTCCTAACATTCCTGAATTCCCCCGAATTGCTTGTTTCTCTTCTGTAAACATCTGGTATTTCAGACCCTCCTGCCTTTTCTTGTCAGTTTCCTCTCCTGGAATGCCCTTCTTTTTTGTCTGGCTCCTACGACTTCCCAATTCCCCTCTGGGCACAACTTGGGTGGCATCTGAGGTCTCGCTTTCTGCTGTTCAGGCTGCACTGAAACTCTAGCGACACAGCCCTCCCTGCCTCCTTCCACGCCTCCTGTCAGTTCAGGTGGCCTGGAGCTTGAGGGAAAACTTCTGGCTGTCAGGAAAGGGTCCTCTCTCAGGAGCCCACGGAAGCAAGTGAGTGGAAATTGCGGGTCTGAGGCTGAGGCAGGAATCTTTGGAGCTGCACAGGCAGGGTCGGTGTGAAGGGAGGCATGGGGTGGAGATCCAGGGGTCTGCCCTTGACTTCAGCATGTCTGTCTCTGGCAGTGAGGATCTGGGTGGAAAGGACTTTGGGAAGAGCCTCCTGGGCCTATGGTGGGCATGTGGTTACCAGTTCTCTTCTTTCCCTTGGGGACTGAGGTTCTCTGCCCAAGTGGGTTATGTCATAGTCCCTGCTAGCTCTGAGGGAAGAGTCAAAGATGACTCTTAAAGTAGTACTAAAGGAGGTATCTAACCACGGGCTCCTGGTCCTCTGAGTACAGATCTAGAGATGAAATGGATCCAGGTGCATCACCTGCACCTGGATCTGGCTCAGGACAGAGAGGAGGGTCCTGAAGGTTGGTCAGGAAGGTTACAAGTGTGAATCAAGGTAATGAGGTCAAAGCAAAAGATCCTGGGTCCACTTGTCCAACCAAATGCCCCTCTCACCGTTGTTCTTCCAGATCACATCTGTCTGCTTCTCCTTATGCACACGCGCAGAAAGTACAGCAGTGTCGCCTTTATTCACTGTATGCGTGACCTTGTCTGGGAGCAGGTGGGCTGTGGGTTGGAAGGGGGGGTCAGCGGCCAGGGGCATCATCCTCCTGCTGCCCCCTTCGTGCAGCCTGACTCACCCCCGGGGCTGTTGTGAACGTAGACCACTCGAGCCCGCCGCAGGCCCGTGCCGCCCACGCAGGAGAACACGCCCACCAGGTCCGAGGGCTTTGAGAAGCCTCGCAGCGTGACCTGGTGTGAGCCGTTGTGTGCCAGACGCAGGGGCTGCCCCGACGAGAGGGTGCGCACTATGCTGTTGTCCTTTTCCAGCAGCAGCGGTGGACTCCAGGCGTCGGAGCCCCTGCCCACCCCGGCCTCTCCAGACACGCAGGTCAGAAAGAAACGCTGGGGGTCGGTGAGGCGCAGGTTGGCCAGCAGTGTCAGGTCCACAGCAGCACCTGGGGCCGGGACATCAGTGACTTATTTCACCGTAGAGCCAACTGACCCTCTGATTCTAGAGCTCCTGGTTCCAGGCCTCTGAGCTTATTGCAGGGGCCGTTGCAGAGGCCTCCCAGCCTTCAGCCCTCTTCCTTTCCCTGTCACATCCCACAGACCCCACAGGCACTTCATTTTATCAGATATTTTCATTCCCTCCCGCCCCTTTCCACGTACACCAGCCTTTTGCCCTCAAGTCTCTTGATCCTGAAAGAATAAAAACAGGAGCACAAATCCTTGTCTGGCTGCCCATCCCCTCCCTTCTCCTGCCAGATGGCTTCCCTTCGCAGCCCAGCCTTCAGAGGGAATGATCTATGTTTCCTTACTTTATTCCCTGGCAGGCCCCTTTCCTGACTCCTCTCTAAAAGTGCTCTGCCGAGGTAGCCTCGAGCCGCTTCTCCCTGCCCCCATCACGAGGCTGCAGGCTAGGACCACCATCCAGACCCGAAGCTTCTCTAGGGCCTCTCCTTCTCCCTGCAGACATCTGTTTGTTGTGTGTTATTTAAGGTGGGCCTGGAGCAAAAATGAAGCTGGCCCTGTGTGGCTGAGAAAGGAGGGCAGGCCGGGGTCCAGATGGGCAGATACAGGTGAGGCTTGGCCTTTGCCTTCCAAGCGTGCACTGCCTAGTGGGAGGGAGTCATGGCCAGAGCTGCCGGATGAAGGCTGCTGTACATGCGAGCAGAGAGGGGCATCCAAGCCAGTCTGGGAAAGGCGCGGTGGGGAGCTGCTTCCTCGCAGAGTTAGCCTGAAGGTCGCTAAAGCTCAGGCAGGACACATGGGGTGAGCCAAAGAGGGAGAGACCGAGATCTGGGGCAGGGAAGGGCAGTTTAGGCAGGGTAAAGGGTTGGAAAGAAAACTGATGGTGTCGGGCTGGGCTGTGAACCTGACGTGACCAGAGCACAAAATGTGCGCCCTGGGGTGGGCAGAGATGAGGTAGAGCCAATTCCAGGCCAGACTGGAACAGCGCAACTAGCTCGCCCAGCTCTGTGATTCCGAGCTCTGTAGAGCCCCTCCCTCTAGGCCCTGGCCTGTTAACTACTGTCAAGTAACTAATTAATTCAAAGGCCGCTTAGCGTGTCAGTTAATATTGTTCAAAAGTCTACCATGCATGAAGCCGGCATTTCTAGGCTGCATACCAGGTACCAGCACCTTTTTTTTTGGCTGCATCCCCATAACCTCCTGTGAAGCTGATATTCTTTTATTTTATAGAGGAGAAAATAATTACTCTACAGCCTTCCTTGAGTGAGCGCATCCACCTCCTTGGCTTTAACAATCACGTCTGAGTCAGAAACCCCAGGAAGGCCTTCGGCTTGGAACTGAATTTCCACCGGCTTTTCCCAAACCTGTTTCTCTCCTGTACTCCCTGACGCAGCACGCAGCACCTGCCACCTGAGACACCTAGGAGTTATCTCAGACTCCCACTGCCATAATCCGTGTTCATTGGATGTCAGTCAGGCACTGAGCACTCACTCACCACACATTCTCATTCTGTTATCCTGGCTAGCCTCGGATGTGGGTGTTTATTATCCCTATTTTATGGCCAGGGAATAAAGGTTCAGAGAAGTTAAGCAACTTGCCCAAGGTCATACAATTAGTAACCAGCAAAGGTGGGTTGTTTAATTCTAACATCCGTACTACTAAACTTTGTGTTGGTTACCCCAACCAGTCATGAAATTTTGCAGGTCATTTCCTAAAAGTTCCTGACCTTGTTGCCATTTCCCAAGCCTGCATTTGTTCAGCCCTCGGCCCCGGTCACCATGAGCAACCCAGCAGCCACAAGCCCCTTCCCCTGCCCATCCTCTAAAGAGATCCATCTAAGGCTCCAAACCACCCTACGATTGTCTGGCTTACAACCTCCCATGGCTCCTGAGGGCTCCCATCGCCCTCAGGATAACATGTGATCTCCTGAGCCCCTTCTTGCCCGCACTGCCCCTCCAGCTGCTCTCCCTACAGGGGCTGTTCCTCCACCTCTCTGAGACTCGCACTTATTGTTGTAGCTACCAGCCTCTTTGTGAAATCTTTCCCGACTGTATTTTTGTCCATTACCCAAGTGAAAGTAAGCTGGTCGTCTGGTGCTCCTTGCATCTATCTCTGTTCAGCCTTCATCCTCTGTCCTGTGCTCCCCCATTAGACCGTGAACCACTCAAAAGCAGCTTCTGTGTTCTGTCCTCCAACCAGCGACTGAAGGAACCAGCCTCTGCTTATACAGAAACTCCTTCCAAGTGCCACGTCCTGTGCCAAGCGCTCTGCACACATCATCTCATTTAAACCCCACATCCATTGTGGGCCGTCAGGATCATTAAAACCCACTGTATAGGCCTCAAGGTTGCCAGTCTATCAACTAATGAACCACTGTCGATGCTCAATAGACATCTTTCCAATGGATAATTGAACCCCACACACCGGGCCTGTGAGCACCCACTGAAGACATCCCAGGGATTCTTTAACGGCTGCTTCCCTCCCTTCCACTAGCCTTGGGCTGCGGTGATTTCTAGCACTTGACTGAGTTTTCTTGGCTTTAACCTCACTTTTTGGTAGACCAGAGTCATGGCAGTGGTGACAGCATTTCCTTCTTCCCCAAATTTTTTTATTGTGGTAAATATATACGTGACCTAGAATTTACTCTCTTAACCAGTTGTAAACACACAGTTCAGTGCTGTAGAATCACCCACAATAGCGTGCAAGCAACCCCAGCACCCATCCCTAGAGCTCTTCTCATCTCCTGAAACTGAAACTCTGGGCCTGTTAAACCAGAGTTCCCCAGCCCCTGTCTCTTTGTGATTTGATAGGACTCCTCCGGGGGGCGTGGAAGCAGGGCCTTGGGGCCTAGAAATGGGATATGCGGCTCAGGGAAGACTTACCCACATCCGAAGCCAGAAGGAGAAAGGGGAGCAGGAAAGTGAGCCCCAGACTGACCATACTCCGGAGGCTGGTGCAGGCCCGCCAGGACCAGCTGGGCCTGGGGTTTGCTGTGGGTCTGAGTGCTCTGCCAGTGCTGGTCAGTGCGCTCAGTGCTGGGGAGGAAGAGGAAATGAGGTGGCTTGGGTGGGAGGGGTAGTAGGGAGAGGGGTGGGGAGAAAGGATCTGCTTTCCAGCCCCTGGGTCCCCCAGCCAGCCCCCCAAGGCCGGGGACGGTATAGCTAGAAGGTCTGGTCAGGGGCCACTTGACGGGGGAGTTATGGCAAGGACAAACCAGGGGACACTTGGGCTGGTTTTCCCATCCCCTCCCTCCCTGCAGTCCTCAGTCTTGCTGGCATACAGGAGGCAGGAAAGGGAGGAAGCCACTGGCTTCCGCCTATTGAGGAGGTTTGGAGAGAGGACATTGTTCTAGGGTCTCCCCTCCTCCAGCGCATACATACATGTGGGCGTGTGGGACAGGACATAGCTCCATTGGATTCTAGAGTGCAGTTCACATATAATGCAAAGATCTTGGATCTGGGAAGGTATGCACTCAAGAGAACATAGGCTCAGGATCACAGGGAGCCTTCGCGCTGGGTGTGGTGGCACATGCCTGTAATCTTAACACTTGGGAGGCTGAGGCGGGAGGATCCCTGAGAATTTGAGGCCAGCCTGGGCTACATAGTGAGTTCAAGACCAGCCTAAACTATATAACAAGACCCTGTCTCAACTAATAAATTAAATAAATAAATGGCTTTTGAGTTTATCTTTTGTACCTCTCTCATTTTATGCATGGGAAAATTGAGCTGTCTGGTCCTGACCGGTAACCCAAGGTTGTGGCAAGGTGGAGACTTGAACTTTGATTCGGTTCTTGGTTTCTTGGTGCTAGTTCCTGCTCCAAGGGCACACATTAAGCAGACCCAGGGGAACACATAAGCAGCGAGTTGCGGCATCGATGGCCTTGAGCAGCTTCAGCTCATTGTCCACCTGCTGTCACATAGGCCACATTGTGTGTTTCATGCTGGGAGCAGGGGAGACCTTTGAACAAGTGATTCTGCAGCAAACCCGCGTCTATCAGCGGGCACCAGGGCAGCATAAGTCTGCCCAGGGAGAGCTGACCACACCTGGAAGCAGGCCCAGTCAAGTCTGCAAACCCCCTGCAACTTGCCTGTGTTGTTCCCCACACCCACCTCTCAGCATGTGGGCGCCCATGCTCACCTCTAGTCACCACTGGCAGTTCCCAAGCTAGAATATGCCCTGCAGCTGTGGACTGCCACCGAGAAGTCCTCCAGGCAGCAGAGGGATGGTTGGTCAAAGTTGCACACCTGGCCTCACACAATTCTGTCTTGAATGGAGTGGTTGGGAAGGCGTGGGGCTGACATCTGGTACCCATTTAGGTGACTTGGAAGTCTAAGTCTTCCCCCTGGAGCTGGGACATCTTCCCAGGGTCAGTTCTGGGTAAAAGCTAGATTCTCCTCTAGATTTACCAGGCCCAACTTCATTTTCCTGAGGAAGCTGGGTCTCTGCAGGTTGGTCTATCTGATTAGGTCCCCCTTCTAAAGGTCCCTAAAAAATCTGAGGAGGGGCGTTGACTCCTGGAGTAGCATGAAAAAGACTAGGGAAGACCTCCCCACCCTACGCATTCCCCTTCCTACGTGTGAAGCTGGGTAGAGCTTTCTCTAGACAGGCTCTGGGTAAGAGTGGGAGTGGGTGAGTGATTAATGCCTTAGACTTAGCTCATCTTGGTTCAGGATCTCTGAATCTGGGTTGAGAAAGAAGCCGGAAAATGCAGGGACCATTTATATGGTAGGATGGTAGGCAAAGTATACCTGTGTGGAACTTGCCCTTGGTTCTGGAAAATGTGGCTCAATGTCATTTTGCAAATGCATGGAGAACATGTGGGCAGAAGTTGCTCTTCTTGAAGACGATGCAGTTATTGACACAAGTGTTTCCGCTGAATGGAGAAGTTTGGGACACCGTGACACTGGCACATGCAAGACTCTAGGCCCATCTGTCCAACCTACTTTCCCCTGAGAAACAAAACCTAGCAGTAATGACCTACAGATAAGGAAAAAGCAAATGTTGCTGTTTGTATACAAGAATCCTTATTATACAACAATGTTCTATAGACGCAGAAGTACTTTTTTGTGTTGAGTTTATGTTACAAGTAATTTTAATAGCATCAGTTTACAAACAGCATATGCTAAATGAAATGTCATTGCCCAGACAAATGTTGAGTAGGTTGTGTATACATCTGCTGTTACAATAGGAACACTTAAACCGCAATATGTCTTGAAGTCTTAGTCACTGGAAAATTATAGGCCAAAATTTTTTTTTTTTTCTTTTTTTGGTACTGGGAATCGAACTCATGACATTGTGCTTTCCAGGCAGACACTGTGCCTCTGAGCTAGATCCCCAGCCCTAGGCCAAAAAAATCTTAATTCAAATATATAGTTCTATATATCTCGTAATGCTGGCCCCATGACCCAAACAAGTAAAGCTGATAATGATAGAGCTAAACTAAAGGTAATTTATATAAAAAAAAAAAAAGCAAAAATAGCTGCTTGACCAACTCAACATAAGGCTAATAATTCACTGCTACCAAAGTCACTTTCCCCAAAACAGTAGGAATTCCAGATGAGGGTATGTAGGCACAAGCAGGGATTGTGCCCAGATGCCAGGGGTCTGGGGCAGCCAGGCTTCTAGGTGGAACATGGTAGCTGAGCTTTTAGTAAAGTCCATATTCAATTTTAGTTTCCAAATGCTAAATTTTTAGTGACCTTCATTTACAAGTTGTACAATAATTAAGTGGCACATAGTTGGACCGAAAAAGAAAAGTTAATGAAATTGCATATCATTTACCCAGTCCAGCAGAGAAAAGCACTTGTGTGTTTGGAGCTGTCCAAGACTCATCCAGCCATCCTCATGCTCTGCAGTGGACTATGGAGCTGAGTAGAAGGATGTTTGCTGGATGGCGCTGACTGTTCTGAGCGGTGGTGAGAATTGTTGCGTGCTTTTCATAGCCACTTTGCAGAATCTGGGGCTGCTACGTTAGGACCAGACTAACGGAAACAGGGGGACAGGCCTACAGCTGCACGGGATTCCATTCGGGTGTGCATGCCAGATCCTGTGATACAGTCGTGAGAAGGGCAGATGTCACACACTGAGTGCATGGCCTAATAATAAGAAGAGATTGTTTCATAGCAGAAATGTGAAGAGTGAAGATTTGAGGCATTTGAGTGTTCACAGAGGTTTGTCTGGTGATCCAGGCTAGGAAGGACATGAAACTAGAAGGGAGAGGTGTAGATCTGGACTTCAAAGTACTTCCCTGGGAGAAGGATTTTTTCTCTAGGATTCAGTTATGGGAAGAGCAAGAAACACCTGCTTTAAGGCAGACGCTAGAAGAGGTGGGGAAAACACTTTAATGGAAGATCTCAGCTTCCACTGACCCAGCTGTGATCCTACCGTGCACCTAATAGCTAGCTTCTTCCACCTACCAGTTCTGGTAGGGATTCTCTAACACCTAACCTGGTCTGTATAATCCTGCTGACCACGCGCTTGAATGCTGCAACCGGGTCAAATTGTAAAAGCCCCTGGATGCTTATTCTCAACCCTTGTGCTTGTCTCTTTGTGACAATTTTTAGATGAGTACAAGACCATGGGTCAGATTCTGAGTGGCACTAGCCAAGTGGGATGGCAGACAGACGGTTGGGATGACACACAGCTGAAGACACAGTTGAGTTTCGATTTGTTTTTGGAGAGATCTAGCATTTCTGGGTTACGACACAGTCTATAGCGTGGCAGAATGAGTGGCTAGAAAGCAAAGCTCTCAGGAGACAAAGAAGTCTAGTGTTTGGAAAGGTCCTCTGTAAGGACGTGGTACTTTTCTCCCCTCTGCCATTCACAGCATATCTTCACCTAAACTCAGGCACAGAAGGAATGTTGTGAGGGGACTCTACTAGGCATTTCCAACACGAGCCTTTCTGACTGGTGCACACTGTGACAACAGCACATCGACATTCATTGACCGTCTCGAGATGGAATGCTGTCTTCCCTACAGAGCAATTTCCAACTATCTTGGGACTGCAAGGGAAAAGACAGATCTCCTCTAAAATGATGGGTGTGTTAGGGTGATGGTCATGCCTTTTTTGTCAGGCATGACCAGTGTACGTGCTGCTGGACTTCTGACCACTCGGAAGGTCCCAGACTGTGGGAGAGCTGTGTGCTTGCTTATTTGGGGCTGGCACTGTTTTTCTATGTGTTGATCACCCTCTCCCTCATACACTCCCAGCCTTGCCACCTTCCATGTGACTTCTACCACTGTCCTTCCTCAGTGACTGGAGGCTGGGGAGAGGGTGGAGCAAACAGGGACCAGCCAGTTGGGCTGGGAGTGAGCAGGAGGCGGAGTGGGGGAGGGATGAGAGATGGCGGTAGTCCTGGGGAAAATATCCGTTTCCCTTATCCCAGGTTCAAATCAAACGATGTTTCACTCTGATGCTTGTGTAGAAGTCAGGACGAGGCTGATGGTGCCTAACCCAGCTTGATTAGCTTTTGGACAATGGGACAATGAGAGTTAAGCAATGGCTGCTACTGCCCCGGGCCGCCACCCACAGTCTCCTATTCATCTTGCTCTCCTGAGCTAGAAGGGACAATGCTTTTCTAAAAAATTAAATGACTTTATTTTCAGATTTCCTGAATAATTAAAAAGATAACACAGGGAATTCCCATACACCTAGCACCTAGGTTCCCCGATAGTTAACATGTTACATTAATGTGGTATATTTACTATAATTAATGAAACAATATTTAGACATCATTATCAACTTTGCTTAGATTTCCTCAGTTTCTCTCCATATCTGTTTTCTGTTCCAGGATTCCATCTGTGGTACTACATTATATATAGTTGTCACGTCTCAGCTCCTCTCGGCTGTGAATTTCTCAGGATTTTCTT